AATGACGTCATCACGCAATGTCATCACAACATCATTTAGCAACTTTTAGCAACAAATCAACCTTCCTTTAGCAACTTCCCCTGAAAATTAGTTGGCAACACTGTTTCCACATAGTGACATAGACATGTGGGGGCGTGTTAGAACAAGCCGTTTTAGGTAGGCGTGGTTGACTCTTAACTTTTATAAAGAATATCTCTTTGGATTTGAGACTTTAGTCTTTGCAACTTTACAGATCTTCTTTATGCACCAAGAGCTTGTAACACTCTAAAGAGAAAGGAAAACTTGAAATCGCATCATATGACCCCTTTAAACTATTCTCATCCCATACTAGGGATAGGGGAGTTCTCTTGGTTCGTGCTATATCCCGAGCTCGGAGCCCTCAGGACAGCACAGCAAATATGCTTACTATTTGCTCAGTTCAATTATATGTAAGTGCGAACTCATGAACTGTTTATTCTTGAACACCACTGATTGGCTATTCCTTTGAAATGAGTCAGAATTCACTCATGGCTAAACTCCACGAGTCCTCTCACTGTAGCAAGATGTAAATAAGAAGTTCATTGATTATACAGGATTTTAGTGAGATTGCGATGAACTGAAGTAAGTGACACCTTTTTAGTGATTATAAAGGAAGGGCTATTTGCGCACTTTCTAGGCTAAATATAATCTGTCCAGAGTTTGAATAAAAGTTTTGTTTTTCGTGCTGCTAATGGCCATACCCTGTACATGCAGCAAAGTTTCGGGAGTGACGTGTAAATCCCTCACATAGTGTTATTCTTTCTGTTTACATTCTCTCATGAATATACACTGTTTGTGCAATGAAACTGATAATGAAGCAAAGTTAAAGGTCATTGATCAACAAAATGGAGGATAAGGAATAAATATGAGGCATAAATGTTATGTATGCTGCACTCTGAAAGCTATTTGCGGTTAATGACCATATATTAGAATATGCAAACAGCTCCTTTGGTTTGTTTGCAAAGCTGTCCTTCAAAGAGCATGTTGTGATGGATTTAGCATCATTTAAGATCAGGCTGTGTTTATGGCATTTCCAGCAGTGAAGTATTCAACTTATTTGAATTACTTATAACAATCATAGGGCATACTGATACAGATTTCTGCAAACTAAAATCTTAAAGAGATTTGTAAGATAATTTTATTATTTAGAATGCAATTTAATTTGAATCATTAAATAGAAGCTTGTTAGTGTAAACAAAACTATTAGCAAATGATCTGAACATGAGCAGAAACCATACAAGACTAAAAAAATCAGTGAGGTGCAGAGAGACAGAGAAATACTATGTGGACATATCATACATATTTCTGTAATATTAACAAAGGTTCAGCAAAACGGAAGTCTGATCATTTGTTTTTTCAGCCTATTAAATTTTTTTAAAAGGATGGCTTGCAAATATACTCATCAATCTCTATACTCAGCCATTTTATCCTTAGAAATCACAAATAAATGCCCATTTCATAACTTTTTATCAGCTCTTGGTTGCCTTTTATTATTTGCATTTATCATTGCTTCCCTCTGCTACAATTATTGGACACATACAAAATAAACACAGTGACAAATGAATGAATAATTACTAATGTATGGACTTTAAAACAATGTAAATGTCTCTTCTTCACAGAAAACTAATCTTATATGTCTGATATAGATGTTTGTAAAAAGTTGGTCCCCATATAGTGGGGCTATAATGATTTTATTGTTCACTGGTGAGTCACTGAGTTTGTAACAGATGGAAATACATAATTAATAGGCATTGGCTCAATGCATAAATGAATCTGTGCTGGTTTTCCTGGCATGAAACCTACAGAGATTTTCACAATCCAATGAATTATGAATACAGAAAAAAACATGTCAAAATGAATCCATCAACCTAAACTGCAACTAAAAGGTGAGTCAGAAGCATGCATATTAGTAAACATACTGTTATTTGCTATTTAACAGTGTCTTTCAGAACAGAACCAGTAATTCTAGCAGGAAAAAACATGCTAAATGCAAATGAATGCTAACTATATTATTGTAAATAATTTATGGCATATACTATTTGCATATAATATACCAGTAAGGCTGTAGGACAGCATTTTGTAAGATCTTAACACTTAGTATGCTCTGTGACATTCTGAAATTGTAATGGAAAAGAAAAGGAAGAAAACTGTTGCAGTCACCAGTCTTGAAAAGCATACACCCTCGAATACACTATTTGTTTTTCTTGTTGAAAGTCTCAAGGGCTACTTTTGTGGGAACAAAATATGTAAAGCACATTTTCTATTCCTTGCAGAAAGGGTTTTGCTAGGAAAAGGGCACTGTGCACGTACCATTTCTTTGTAACATTTACATCAATTTCAGCATGTTGAAAGCCCTCAGGCAAACTAAGAAGCTTCTACTTTTAGATACTCAAGCTGTTAATACTGATTCAATATGAAGAGAGAATTCCATGAAAACCAGAATCTCTACTCGCCTATGTCTTATGTTGAGAGCTCTTTGAGTTCTACAGATTAATGCTTTAAAAAAAATAAAAAGGTATGCCACATTTACATTTATTCATTTAGCAGATGCAAGCAACTGAAATAAGGAACACAACACGCAATTTGTAATAAAAGCTCACAATATGTACGTAGTACACAATGTCAAAAATAGAAGCAATTAATATACACAAGCTACAGTGCAGGTGAAATGCAGAAGAGAAAGAGTAACTCTGGGTACGGGCATTTATGTAATAATTAAGAAAAATACAAAAAATTGTCACATTAACACCCCTGACAGTAAAATCTGCACTTATTTTGTACAGTGTAGCCTATATCCACTGTTGTTCTAAAATTAATGTTTTGAAGAAGAAGACATTTGGGCGTATTGTGTTTCCTTAATAAACAGTGGCCTCGAATGTTAAATAACTTATAGAATGACTAAAATGAGGGGACAATACAGCTGAAGATACTCTTTGCTGTCTGATTCGTGAACGAAACATTCTTTTGAGCCGATTCTTTTTAATGAACCGGTTCTGACTCAAAATGAGCCAAGAACTTGTGGAGCAACATGCAGACAAAATAAGAATAGCTATTTCTTTAAGTTCTGGCATGTGCTGGATAAACATACAGCATCATTAACTTTGCTGTTGAAGGTCTTGCTCGTAAAGCTAGTTAAAAAGCCTATCCAGACACCATCGCCTGCTCGAGACCAACATCCACAACGTAACTCCTAACCAGCGACTGTTTTTTTCCCCCCAGCATGGATACATTGTGTTTGCAGTAAGAATGGCAATAAAAATATAGCATTTTTAATAATGCAGCAGCTTATTTTCCAGAGCCATTGTAAGCAATTCATATGTGGAAAAAGCATAGGAAAAAGATGTGACAAATTTGTTCTTTGGATGATGCTGATGGGCTAGGACACTTTTGAGGATGAATGTGCATTTGCAGGCATATTAGACAAGCTAAAGTATCAGTCAAATGACCAGCTCCCATTAAGAGATAATATATAATTATACGTATTCTAAGTAGTTCTGCTTTCATATCGTAGCAGTTGTGCCTTCAGCTCATGGCTGTGCCATGGCTGAAAAGTTTTCCCTGCACATATTACAGCAGTTATTATATGTGTCCCGTATTTCTGTCTATTGAACCAGCTATACCATTAATTATTAATTAATCATAATTAGTCGGTACTTTCACTGAACTGGATCTGAATCGATTTGCATTAGTTTTGACCACTCTCTCAATGAATCATCTAAAGCGGTCTCTTCTACAGTAAAACAGGCAGTATTGGGATACTTAAGAACACAGAGCAAATGGCACTGGATGAAGTGGATATTTATTTACATATTTATCCCATATGTCTCACGCTCCCCATATTGAGAAGATTCCCAGTTGCCCTTTTACCACGAGGACCAGCGTCCTTCGTCAGGTGCGAGCGGTTTGGT